TGGTTTTACCCACTTCTCCCCAAGTGCTGTTTCTAACCCGCGGGGAGCACCCGAAGCCAACAGGAACTCAGCATCTGGGGCACTGCAGCCCATGGGACAGGGATTAAGCAGGTGCTGGAAAAATCAGGTCCCGTTACTTCAAATTAATGGTGGTGGAGGGTCCCTTGCGTAGCTTCTTCCAGGTGCTTCTTCAGAAAAGCAACCCATAAAATTGCTTCTCATTTTCTTCTGCATTTTACAGTGCAGGAAAACAAAGTTGTGTGAGGTTTGTGTGGGTCTGTCGAGGTTGCATGGGGGTTGCCAAGGCAGTGCCAAGGACCAAAGCTGTAGTTTGGGAGAGGGGCTTAGCTCTGCCCAGGAGCCCCCCGGCTGGTGCACGGGCAACAGGAAGAGCCAGGACGGTAGGACAAACTTTTTAAAAGCAAGAGCTTTAGCGTGGCTATAAATCATCCAGTTCAAATCTGCTCTCAGACTTTAGAGGGTGACTTTCCCTCACAGCTGGGGACTTAGAAGTTTTTTTCTAATACGAGTAATTTTCTAATAGGGTTCATTTGTGGCAGCAAAGCTTGTGTGAAATGGGTGGTGTCGTCTGAACCAACCGCTGCTCCCTGGGTTGACTCTCACATCTCCCCGAGGCTTTCTTGACTCTCAGCCCTGTGCTTGGAGAGGAAAACCAGTCTGTTTATAACAGAACGGCCTGTGTAGGCAGCTGGAAACTTTGCGGTAGCTCAGGGGTGATCAATGGCTTCTGCCATCTCATTTTCACCTGCCTGAACAATTGTCAAACATGTTCCATTTGCTGTGATGTTCTGGGCCTGGACTTTCCAGAAAAGGGAATCAGCGCATTTGGGTGCAGCATCCTTGTACCTAATCACTGTTTATCCCAGGTAGCTGGTGGAAATGAGTAGCACATGAAGAAGGCCATCGACCTTCCACTGCCCACTCAGCGCTTCCTCTTCCTCGGCTCGTGAAGGTGACTCATGAGCCTGACTCTGCAGTTAAAGCCAAGAGCTGCAATCCTCACTCCTCACATCCTCCAACCCACCTTCCTGGGACCTGTCCTCCCCTGGGACCTGTCCTCCCCTGGGACCAGGCGGAGGTGGGGATGACACAGCAGTCATCTTGTCTTATCTCAGGAGCTGGACCTGGGGGATTCTCCTGTCCAGCGTCTCTGGGCTGCATTGATGATTCAGGCTGAGGGAGCTGGGGTTGTTCAGCCTGAAGAAGAGGAGGCTCCAGGGAGACCTAATAGCAGCCTTCCTCAGCGCATCTTCACGTCATCGTGCCAACTTGCAAAGGTGGCCATCATCACAGGAGCCCTGGTTTTACCCACTTCTCCCCAAGTGCTGTTTCTAACCCGCGGGGAGCACCTGAAGCCAACAGGAACTCAGCATCTGGGGCACTGCAGCCCATGGGACAGGGATTAAGCAGGTGCTGGAAAAATCAGGTCCCGTTACTTCAAATTAATGGTGGTGGAGGGTCCCTTGCGTAGCTTCTTCCAGGTGCTTCTTCAGAAAAGCAACCCATAAAATTGCTTCTCATTTTCTTCTGCATTTTACAGTGCAGGAAAACAAAGTTGTGTGAAGTTTGTGTGGGTCTGTCGAGGTTGTATGGGGGTTGCTCAGGTCTACCCCAAGGCAGTGCCAAGGACCAAAGCTGTAGTTTGGGAGAGGGGCTTAGCTCTGCCCAGGAGCCCCCCGGCTGGTGCACGGGCAACAGGAAGAGCCAGGACGGTAGGACAAACTTTTTAAAAGCAAGAGCTTTAGCGTGGCTATAAATCATCCAGTTCAAATCTGCTCTCAGACTTTAGAGGGTGACTTTCCCTCACAGCTGGGGACTTAGAAGTTTTTTTCTAATACAAGTAATTTTCTAATAGGGTTCATTTGTGGCAGCAAAGCTTGTGTGAAATGGGTGGTGTCGTCTGAACCAACCGCTGCTCCCTGGGTTGACTCTCACATCTCCCCGAGGCTTTCTTGACTCTCAGCCCTGTGCTTGGAGAGGAAAACCAGTCTGTTTATAACAGAACGGCCTGTGTAGGCAGCTGGAAACTTTGCGGTAGCTCAGGGGTGATCAATGGCTTCTGCCATCTCATTTTCACCTGCCTGAACAATTGTCAAACATGTTCCATTTGCTGTGATGTTCTGGGCCTGGACTTTCCAGAAAAGGGAATCAGCGCATTTGGGTGCAGCATCCTTGTACCTAATCACTGTTTATCCCAGGTAGCTGGTGGAAATGAGTAGCACATGAAGAAGGCCATCGACCTTCCACTGCCCACTCAGCGCTTCCTCTTCCTCAGCTCGTGAAGGTGACTCATGAGCCTGACTCTGCAGTTAAAGCCAAGAGCTGCAATCCTCACTCCTCACATCCTCCAACCCACCTTCCTGGGACCTGTCCTCCCCTGGGACCTGTCCTCCCCTGGGACCAGGCGGAGGTGGGGATGACACAGCAGTCATCTTGTCTTATCTCAGGAGCTGGACCTGGGGGATTCTCCTGTCCAGCCTCTCTGGGCTGCATTGATGATTCAGGCTGAGGGAGCTGGGGTTCTCCTCCCCTGGGACCAGGTGGAGGTGGGGATGACATAGCAGTCATCTCGTCTTATCTCAGGAGCTGGACCTGGGGGATTCTCCTGTCCAGCCTCTCTGGGCTGCATTGATGATTCAGGCTGAGGGAGCTGGGGTTGTTCAGCCTGAAGAAGAGGAGGCTCCAGGGAGACCTAATAGCAGCCTTCCAGTACCTGAAGGGAGCCTACAGGAAGGCTGGGGAGAGCCTGTTTAGAAAGGCCTGCAGTGACAGGACGAGGGGCAATGGCTTCAAGCTGGAGGGGAACAGATTTAGACTGGAGATGAGGAGAGGGTTCTTCACTGGGAGGGTGGTGGAGCACTGGAACAGGTTGCCCAGGGAGGTGGTTGAGGCCCCTTCCCTGGAGATATTCAAGGAGAGGCTCGACGAGGCCCTGGGCAGCCTGGTCTAGTTGCGGGTGTCCCTGCTGACTGCGGGGAGGTCAGACCAGATGACCTTTGGAGGTCCCTTCTGACCTGGGCAATTCTATGATTCTATGATGCCTGGAGGCATCAAAGGGTTGGGAGGTTTGCTTTGGTTCCAAGCACTGACTCCAGGTAGGGTTTGAGCCATGGGGTGTCCTGCTTCGCCTTCTGTGTCCCCGAGTGGCAGGTCTTCCCTTGGCTTCATTTGATGGATTTGGTGAAAGGGGCTTCACAGCTCAGGCGTGTTTGTGCTGCGCCCCGTGGGGTTCACGCTGGTCCCGCACCCGAGCTGCGAACGCCACTGACGGCTTCCTGTTGTGGTTTCCTGCCTCGGCTAAAACGCCTCCACGGCGGAGCCTGCTCTCCCTTCCTGTTCTCATCAGGGCCATTTCTGGGCTTTAATGAAGACAACAAACCAAGATGTAGAGAAGGGTCTGGTTGCCATAAATCCAGCTCCCCGTGGAGAGCTGTTGTAGGCTGAGCGGAGCAAGGGGCACACAGCGGAATGGTTTCTCCTGAGTAGTTTCCTCCTGACCGTGTCCCGTTCCTGCCCGTACAAAACACGTATCCAGCCAACCCCTTCCCAGCTCTGGCATTCCCAGAGGCTGGCAGGAGCCTGCCCTGTCCCTCTGCTGCTCAACGGGCTGGGTCAGATGAAGCTGGGCAATCAGGGAGAGCCCCGGCCACCGCCCGAGAGCAGAGGCCACTTCTGGGCCCAACCCATCGGGCCCAACCCATCGGGCAACGACTTCTCCCATCACGTTCAGAAATGAGAGTTATGTCGGGAAGAATCAGGGCAAATACCCAGCACATTGGCCAAAGAGCCGGTGTTTTTACTCTGAACATGAGTGACGTGTTTGCGGGAAACGCGGATGGAAACAACCACTCTGATCTCTTTTGGGGTCAGCATCTGCGCAATGACAAAATCAAAGATCAAGCTCCAGGGAACAAATGAGACCCTTTGAATAAGGCCCTATTTCCATTAATCACCGTAAATTGGCTTCTGATTGTGGGTGGGATTTCAGATGATTCGATACCAGACCTATAGCTCTCCAGCAGAAGGAGCTCAGCAGTGACTCACTCAACCAAGTGCCATTTCTCGCTGGGTTCCCACCACAAGCTGGTGCCACAGCAGCACGACGGTAGGTTTTTCACTGGTTTTAGACTTTTCTGAGGTGGGGGATCCAGTAACTCCTGCACATTGCAGCTTGATGGAGACAGGGAGATGAAACTCCCTTTGTGGTGGTGGCCGGTCACATCTCAGCTCCGGCCTTCTCTGGAGCACGTGCATGATGCAGAAATAGGAACTGCCAAATGGGATCGGAGCATCGGCCAAACTCAGAAAACAGCCAGAGTCAGGTATCTTGGGAAAAAATGCGTAAATTTTTCAAAAGGCAATTAGAGAAAGGTTTCTTCTTGTTCTCTCAACCGATGGTTACTGTCTGCCCGGAAGCACTTGGGTTTATCTTTATCTCCTTTTGCTGTGTTTGGTGCAATTGTGTATCTAAATGTTTTTTTTAGACATTTAACACCCATCTCATGTTTTAATCTTATTCCATTTAAGATTTTGACCTTATAAACCCTCATAGAAAAACAAATTTATTCAGAGAGGCAAAAGAATTTCCTTTTATTGTGAACGGGGCTGGAAAGAAAATGGTAGGAAGTCAAGGCTAAAAACTTTGGGATGGATGCAAGAAGCACATTTTTAATAGTGAACGTAATTAACCATTGGAACAACTCACTGTAGGATTCGGTGCATTCTCCATTGCTTGAAATTTGTAAATCAAGATCAGATGGATTTTTACTTACACTTTCTAGCTGCACTCGTGGTGGGACAGAGGAATAGCATTCACATCCCTCTGGGGGGGGGGTATGAATGCACCCACGCCTACCCTCCACCACCCTGCAGCCAGCCATCTGTGGGCTGAAGAACCTCTAGGCAGACCCGCCTGAATTCCAATTAAAATTTTGTGCAAAATTATGTTGTCGGTGAAGAATTTTTCTTCTCTCTTTCAGGTCCAGCGGTGTGAGGCGACCCGAGCCGTCCCGGTAAGTGCGCAGAGATGCCGGATGCTGCTGCTCACCTGCCTTTTTACTACGGCAGCATCGCCAGGTCGGAGGCGGAGGAGTACCTGAAGCTGGCGGGGATGTCGGACGGGCTGTTCCTGCTGCGGCAGTGCCTGCGCAGCCTGGGGGGGTACGTCCTCTCCATGGTCTGCAACCTGCAGTTCTACCACTACGCCATCGAGCGCCAGATGAATGGCACCTACGCCATCGCGGGGGGCAAAGCCCACTGCGGGCCGGAGGAGCTCTGCGAGTTTTACTCCAAGGATGCTGACGGGCTCTGCTGCACCCTCCGCAAACCCTGCAACCGCCCCAGCGGCGTGGAGCCCCAGCCCGGCGTCTTCGACAACATGAGGGACAACATGGTGCGCGAATACGTCCGGCAGACCTGGAAACTGGAGGTACTGGCCATTGCCAAAGACGTGAGGGACTGTGCAAGGAGTGCTCTGCCAGGGCTTACTGCCCCAACCTCCTCTGTCCTTGTCATAGAATCATAGAATTGCCCAGCCCGGAAGGGACCTCCAAAGGCCATCTAGTCCCACCTCCCCGCAGTCAGCAGGGACACCCCCAACTAGACCAGGTTGCCCAGGGCTTCATCGAGCCTCTCCTTGAATATCTCCAGGGAAGGGGCCTCAACCACCTCCCTGGGCAACCTGTTCCAGTGCTCCACCACCCTCACAGTGAAGAACCCTCTCCTCATCTCCAGTCTAAATCTGTTCCCCTCCAGCTTGAAGCCATTGCCCCTCGTCCTGTCACTGCAGGCCTTTCTAAACAGGCTCTCCCCAGCCTTCCTGTAGGCTCCCTTCAGGTACTGGAAGGCTGCTATTAGGTCTCCCCGGAGCCTCCTCTTCTCCAGGCTGAACAACCCCAGCTCCCTCAGCCTGTCTCGTAGCAGAGGTGCTCCATCCCCCTGATCATCCTTGTGGCCCTCCTCTGGACCTTCTCCATCAGGTCTATGTCCTTCTTATATTGAGGGCTCCAGACCTGCACACAATACTCCCCCCCTCTTATAGAATCATAGAATGGTTAGAGCTGGAAGGGACCCCAGAGATCATCGAATTCCAACCCCCCTGCCCTGGGCAGGGACACCTCCCACCACACCAGGTTGCTCAAAGCCCCATCCAGCCTGGCCAGCAGGTGGATAAGCCCCCCAGGGTCACCTCCAGCCAGCCTGTCACCCCCCCAGTAGACCCGATAACCCAGCCCCCTACCAAGCACAGTACAAAAAGTCAGTGCCCCACCAGGAAGGCATCACAGCCCAGTGGCTGCAGAGCCCTGTACACCAGGAGCCAAGGAATCACAGAATGGTTTGGGTGGGAAGGGACCTTAAAGCCCCCCCAGTGCCACCCCCCTGCCCTGGGCAGGGACACCTCCCACCACACCACGTTGCTCCAAGCCCCCTCCAACCTGCCCTTGAACCCCTCCAGGGATGGGGCAGCCACAGCTTCTCTGGCCAACCTGGGCCAGGGCCTCACCACCCTCACAGTAAAGAATTTCTTCCTAATATCTAATCTAAATCTCCCCTCTTCCAATTTAAAACCATTACTCCTTGTCCTGTCATTACACCTCCTGACAAAGTCCTTCCTCAGCTTATAGCATAGTTAAGCAAGGTCCTTCTCCTCGGAGGCTGCTGGCACTAAGAGCAATCTTAAATCTCTCTCTTTTCCAACTTCCTCCTTGGAAACGGGTCTAAATGTCTTCCCAAGCCTTCAGACCCTTCCTCTGAAGAGCTCCTGTTGTGTCTGCTCGGCAGGGCTCTCCCGGAGCTCTCTGCCCACTCCGTGAGCATTCCCCTGTGTCCCATTTGTCCTTCTTGGGCACTCACTGTGGTCAGGCCATCACCCTCCACACGAGGTACCTGTGTCTCCGTAACATTGTGCTGAAGATGTAATGAAACCAGACTTAAATTCTTGCTCGGGTTTTCCTCGCTCTTTGAAGTCAGTGGAGGTTTTGCCTGTGGGACGGAGGTACCGGGTAGTGGATCAGGTCTGTCTGTTATTTAAATTTAAAAATAGCTACAGGCAGGTTCCTGCATTTTATTGCAGACTGGAATATATATATATATATGTCTAAGGCCAAACTCTGTAAATGATCACACTGGCAGCCACGTAATTAATTTCCTTCTGCCTGCTGTCACCTCCAAAGTGGCTCCTCAGACACTTCCAAGTCCTCACAGAAGAATGGCTCAGGCATTTTCTTTATGGAGCCATTCTACAAAAGATCTCTACATTTGGCATATTTTAGACCAATGGTCCTTGACAGAATGAGGTATCTCCAGGGTTTCTCCTTGAAGCTGGTGTGTGTAGATAACACAAAGGACATTGCCACCTACCGGCAAACGAAAAACTACAGTTATTTATAAAATATGTGGGGCCCGTAAAATTAATTGAGGGTCTCCCACATCATTTCCAGACTGCGCCGCTCTACAAGTTGTGGTGTCTGGGGAGAGTAAGCAGCCAGGAAGGGTCCTGCTCTCCCAGGAATACGAGTCTGAGAGACACCCTGCAAGCCTGATGTCAGGATCCCCCCCACAAATATGATGCCTCCTCTCTTCCCTCACCAGCAAGTCAATGGGCTTCAGCTGGATTCGATGGATGGGACCCATTTAGATAAACAAGGAATTCTGCTTTGCAGCAGAATAAAATTCAACCCTCTTATTGCTACAGGCATGATTAAGGCCACGTGCACTTCAATTATGAGGCCTTCCAAGTTTCCCAAAATGGTGTCATCTGCCCAAACCGGTGCTGAAGCCACGCAGCAATGCAGCAGAGTGGCAGGAGGTCTCATTTCTCACTCTCTTCCAGGGTGACGCACTTGAACAGGCCATCATAAGCCAGGCTCCACAGGTGGAGAAGCTCATTGCCACCACGGCCCACGAGAGGATGCCCTGGTACCATGGCAACATCACCCGGGATGAAGCTGAACGGAGGCTCTACTCAGGGGCACAACCCGATGGCAAATTCCTGTGAGTATGCAAAGCCCTGGTAGATGCTGCAATCCCTGGACTTTTCACCATTTCCCCACCTCCCCTACCCTGTAGTTATTTGTTTCATGTGACAATTCCTGAGAGGAGGTTTAGCTGAATATGGTCAGACTGCGGTTATAGATCTTACAAAGACAGGATCTGACACCTCAAAACTGTTATTGTCCAGGCAGTGTCTGGCTTCCATGAGGAGCCAATCTTGAACTTTATTTGTTTCTCCTGTTTAGATGTCTCTATGAAGTATGCTTGTTAATGCATCAGATCTTCTGAGATACAGGGTTCGGTGCGTGAAGACATTTAACACTGACACATAGACAATGTATGGCCAGTAAAATACAGAAAAAACATTTGCTCTTCATCTTTGCCGAGGTGGGACAGTCCTAGGGACAGCCCTTCATTTAACTATCTCCCAACTTGGGAAAAGAAAGAATTAGCTGGAGATGGTGGAGGAAAGGGGCAAGAGACTGAAGGTGAAGGTCCCACCTCAGCCTCTGCAGAGGGGTGTCAGGAAGGTGGCAGTTCCAACAGGGATACCAAGTGCCCACCCAGCGACCCACCACTGCTGCAGCCCTGATAATTTGCAGGGCAAAACCTAGAGTTGCCTTTAATAGAATCATAGAATGGTCTAGGTTGGAAGAGACCCTTGGGATCATCGAGTCCAACCATCTCCCCTACTCTACAAAGTCCTCCCCTACACCATGTCCCTCAGCACTGCATCTAAACGGCCCTTAAACACAGCCAGGGATGGGGACTCCCCCCCCCCCCTGGGCAGCCTGTTCCAATGCCCGACCACTCTTTGGGTGAAAAATTCCTTCCTAATGTTCAATCTAAACCTCCCCTGTTGGAGCTTGAAGCCGTTCCCTCTCGTTCTGTCACTAATTACCTGTGAGAAGAGACCAGCACCAACCTCTCTACAGTGTCCTTTCACGAAGTTGTAGAGAGTGATGAGGTCTCCCCTCAGCCTCCTCTTCCTCATACTAAATAGTTCTCCTTCCTCCCAGGCTGAGAGAAAGGAAGGAGAATGGTGCCTATGCCCTCTCCCTTGTCTATGGCAAAACAGTCTATCACTATCGGATCGACCAGGACAAGTCTGGCAAGTACTCCATCCCCGAGGGGACCAAGTTCGACACGCTCTGGCAGGTACCGTACGCGGGACGCTGAACACGGGTGTCCCAACAAAGCACACAGGCATAACAAGGGCACTTCTCCCTGGTGAGAGCTGCCTGTGCCTCGGCGACAGGAAAGGCCACGTGGAGCTTTAAAGGCTTTAAAACTGTACAGAGAATCATAGAATTGTCTGGGTTGGAAGGGACCTTTAAGATCATCCAGTCCAACCATCAACCTGACTCTGATAAAACCCATCACTAACCCATGTCTCTAAGCACTATGTCAACTCGTCTTTTGAACACCTCCAGGGATGGTGCCTCAACCACTGCCCTGGGCAGCCCATTCCAAGGCTTAATAACCCTTTCAGTATAAAAATTTTTCCTAATATCCAATCTGAACCTTTCCTGGCACAACTTGAGGCCATTTCCTTTTGTCCCATCGCCTGTTCCTTGGGAGAATAGACCCACCCCCACCTTGATTGTAACCCCCCCCAGAAAATCCCTTTCATTCCCTGGGTCTGGCTGTCTCTCAGCTCATTGCATTCATTTCTGGGAACAAGCTATGTCTGGGACATCACAGCAGCTCTGAAATAGTGCTGGATTTACCTCTGCCTTCATGCCTTACACCAGTGGGGTGTCTCTCCATGAAAACAAGGGGATTACTGCTTTTAATTTCTAGCTTTAAGCCAGGAGATGGTTGTATTAATTACACTTGCACCCCCTCAGCAGACATCCCACTTGGACCTCTTCCTGCAGGGAGCCCCCCGTGAGATTGCTCATCCCTGACTGTCCCTCCTGTGTCCCCCACGCTGCTCCTGGACTGGCAAAACTGTTGTGTGCCAATTCCCACTTTATTTTCCAAGTGACTGACTTCCGTAAGAGTTGGGGAGGCCAGAAATCTTGAGCCAGCTGCCAAAATCTTTACATGACTGAAGATCCAAGTGCCAGGAGACACCTCCTGTCACCCCTGAGTCAGGGCCTTTGGGAAGTGGAGATGGCTGGAAGGCCCCAGCAGTCCTCCTGAGGGTGGGACAGGGTTTTTGTCCCAGGAACAGCTCATGGCACTGCTGGGGAGTTGAATTATCCCCCCTGGAGCCTGGTTCTGCCCCGTGGCATGCACCAGGGACCTGCTCCAGGGGACAGACAGCAGCGCTTCCTCCTGGGCAGGGCTGTCTTGGGGACAGGAACTCCGTTCTGCTGAATTTTTCAAATTCCCAGAACTGTTTTCACTCTGAATTTGATTGAAAACAAAGACTTCGGGGCATTTTTATGGAAACAGAACCATGCCAGGCTCCTAACTGCAGATGAAATACGAGCCAGACAGGAGGGGAGGAGAAAGCCTGGTGTCCCCTGGGGTCTGGTGGCCAGGGGCTGGGCTGGTCGGCTCCAGCCAGAGTCACGTCCCCACCGTGCTCGAACCAGCGGTCGATGCAGTGAAAAACTGCCCGGGTTTCACAGAGCTAACCCTGAGGCTCCTCTGGGAAAACAAGAGGTTTCTCTCATGCTTTATCAAACACGACATGACTTCAAACCCCTTTTCTGGACGGGACAACAATAACATTGCACTGAAAAAATGCCCTACCCAGCTCTCCTACTGGAGATTTTCCTTTAGTCTTTCTCGGGTCCTTATCTCACTTCCCAAATTCTTCCCAGCTCTGGCAGATATCCAGGTCTGCAAGCACTTGCTCTAGGAGATCCCTGAGTGCATGGAGAGGAGAGGAGAGAAAGAAATAGTCCGGTCCCTGTCTGAGAAATCATTACCATAAGCCACACAAGTTGCCTGCAAAACAAAACAAAACAAAACAAAGACTATTTTCTCCTCTCAACAATCCCTTTTTCTTCCAATTCCTTTCCCAGTTGGTGGAGTACCTAAAACTCAAACCGGATGGGCTGATTTTCTACCTGAGGGAAACCTGCTCCAACCCCAACATGCCAGGTGAGCTGATGTCTCCCAGTCCCATCCCTGGCCTCGCTTTACCACCCAGTGGGGGAAGTTTGAGCAGCACCAACCCAAGTTTCCTTTACCCCGTCCAACCTCTTGCTCCTCTGGCAAACTGGGCAAGTCTCATGACATGTTGTCTGCTGAAAAAGGCCACTCTCCAGACCTGGCCTTGGGTGGCCTAAAGACAGGAGCAGATGGGGGAGTCAGTGCTCCAAACGGATTAGGGGCTTCTGGTGCCAAACAGATGGCTTCTGAAAAATGACTGGCTTTTTAGGCAGCAGGAAACAACGTGTCCTGCAAGTCTGGCTCCTGGTGGGTCCCTTGAGCTGAATGCTCAAAACTATGGGTCACTTTGTCCTGGCCCAAGTATCACAATGTCACTTCAGAGCCTGTCCATGGGACCCCTACTCTCCTGAGCAGGGGGCTCTGGGGTACAGCTCAGCCAGTCCCTGCTCTGGGACGGATGGAGACTGTGCTCCAGTGGGTCTGCACCTCCCCTGAGGGCTGGGAATAACACCCTCATCCAGGCACGTTTCCACACCTTTTTTTTTGGCTAAGGCTGTGGAAACCAGCCTTTGGCGGGAGAGGGTCAGATCCAGGCATCCACAGAGTCCTTCAAGGATGCTCTGATCCTCCTTGGGACACAGGCAGACTCTAATTAACACCTTCTCTCTCCTGATCCACAGCGTCTGCAGCACCGGTTCCACCAACACACCCCTCCGTGAGCGTAAGTCCTGGGGAGAGTCAGTTTTATTGCTGCCTCGGTGGTTTAATGTTATTGCATTTCAAGCTTGCTGATCAAACTCTGTTCTTCTCTAAAAAGGCAATAACTCGAACGAAATATATTAAGCCCAGCTGCAAAGTTGTCCCCTTTCCAGCTTGGATGGGGACAAGGAATAGCTGGGCACAGCTACCATTAGAGCTGAAAATGGTTTCCATTCATACCGTGCTCCTTGCGACATGTGGTGGGCCTGTCCTCGGGGAGCCCTCTCCCCCCTGCCCTCCTTGCCAGGCAGGAGCGAGGAAGATGTGGTTGGATTCTGGGAACGTTCAGCCCTGCTGCTGGCCACTGGCCACTGGCCAGGCCTTTGTGCTCCCTCTGCGTCCCCGGCCTTGGGATATGTCTGTGCTCAGTCACCGCTCCGAGTGCCGAGCAGTGTTGAAACCAGCTGGTTTGGGCTACACCAGCAGCCCAGTGGAGGCTAAATACAGACCTGAGCTTGGCCCATCTGGGAGGGCTGTCACTAATCCGTGGTGGGCTCCCATGTCACCGTGATTGAGCTGCAAGCAGTGCTGGCATTCAAAGCTGTGCTGGAAAAATCATTGTATGGTTCGGGTTGGAAGGGACCTTAAAGACTGTCTGGTTCCAACCCCCCTGCCCTGGGCAGGGACACCTCCCACCACACCACGTTGCTCCAAGCCCCCTCCAACCTGCCCTTGAACCCCTCCAGGGATGGGGCAGCCACAGCTTCTCTGGCCAACCTGGGCCAGGCTCTCCCCACCCTCACACCAAACAAGTTCTTCCCCACAGCTCAGCTCCATCTCCCCTCTTGCAGGGTCAAACCCTCCCCCTTCATCCTATGGCTCCTCTCCCTGATCAAGAGTCCTTCTCCATGTGCACCGTACTGCTTTGTCTCTGTCTGCCTTTGGGACAGTGGCTGCACACAGTGTCCCTGTGTGCTCCTGGGGCCACTCTTGGGGCAGGTCGGTGTGCCGGCCACATGCTGAGCTGCTCCTGGCTCCCCTTCTCTCCCTGTCTCAAAATGAGCCAAGAGACTTGGCTGGGATGACCCCGCTGCTGCAGGAGACTTGGTGCTTTGGGGTGGGGAAAGCAGAGCGGGCAGAGAGCGAAATGCAGACCTTTGTGTGTGTCCTTCACTCGGGTAAACCCAGAGCCCTCAGCCTCACCCTCCACAGCCCACGGGGCGATGCTGCATTTGGGATCCGTGGCAGTGAATCCCCCCCAGGGGCTGATCCCCGCTGTGTGGCTGCACTGGGGGTACCTGCCAGCCCTCACTGGAAGGGAAGATGCAGCTCGATACCATTCCAGTCTCTTTTGCCCACCTCAGGGCCTTTTAGTCACCAGCTGGGGCTCTCAGGGCTGCAGAGGTTTGCTGTCCCTCTCCCTCTCCCTCTCCCTCTCCTCTCCTCTCCTCTCCTCTCTCCCATTTCAAATGGAAGCAGTTTCCCCTGGTACATTATCCCTGTTTCTTTTCCAGAGAAACCTTGGCCCTCTCAATGCAGACGGATACACACCTGAGCCTGTAGGTGAGCATCTTTGAAAGCCCTCTCCTCCTGACAGGAGGAGACAGGACCTGGGGATGCTGCAGGAACCATGGGGGTTACCTGTCACAGCTGCATCACCTTCTGGTCAAAGAGCTGTGCTACAAAGCTCCTTTCTTGCAAAGGCACCCAGGAGCATCCCACTCATCCTTTGAGACAAGAATATTGCAAAACTGTTTGCCCACACCTGGCAGCCAGTAAATCAAACCCCATCCAACTCCCCATCGTACCCAGTAAAACAAGCCCTGTCCCATTCCCCATCTTCCATCCCACCTACTCAATCTCAGTGTATCCAGTTACGTCTCAGTGGGGTGAAGTCATGGACATGCCCAGGTCCCACGGGGTCTGAGGTGTGGAGTGGGAATGCTCAGACACCTCTCCCCATCCTGGTTCCTTCAGCAGCTGTAACTAGGAGAGGCCATGGGTTGGGAAAGGGAGGGAGATGCCCATCTGGAATGCTGCAGCTTGAAGGAGAATTGGCCAAAAGTCTAGAGAAGACCTTCCCAAGTGGTGAGGGAGAGAGGGGTGGAGAAGGAAGTGTTTTTAATAGCTATATGAATCTGTATCTCTTGGGAAGGTGCAGGAAAGTCACGCCTGCTCCCCATGGACACCAGTGTCTACGAGAGCCCATACAGTGACCCCGAAGAACTGAAGGATAAGAAGCTTTTCCTGAAGAGGGACCACCTGATGATTGATGAAATGGAACTGGGGGCAGGAAACTTTGGCTGCGTCAAGAAAGGAGTCTACAAAATGAGAAAGTGAGTGCCACCCTGAAGGATGCTGAGGAAGGGGGAGCTCAGCTCCAGGCTGAGCTCAGAGGTGTCCCCAGCTCTCCTGTGTCTAGCTAGATGGACCGTAAGGTGATAATGGGGTGGAGGTATAAGAGATACTCTGGAACGTCACTGATGACTTTCCACACGCTTTCAGTGACAGCCCCATTGCCCTGAGAGTGCAATCTGCACTGCACTCTCCTGGGCATGAGACTGCCACTTCTGATGGCATTTGCTGGGCTCAGAGGAGCAATTCCATGTTTCTGAGGTCATCTTGGTCCATGTCAGGGTGAAGGAGTGAGACTGAGGAGACGTGTGATCCTTGGCTCTGGTGCTGGTTGTCTGTGAGTCCACAAAGATGGCCTTTGCCCACTTTGTGCCTGAGTTTCCCCCTTGAAAAATGGCAATGATGATGCAGATCTCAGTGTGTGAAGTGATGCGCCTTCAGGTCTACAGATGGCAAATACTGGCCTACACTTAGAAGGGTGAAGTGACCTTTTCTCTTTGGCCCTCTAGCAGGCCTGAGATACCAGGATTGTGCAGGGCTCCACCAAAACAGGCTTCTGAGATTGTTGTTTAGAGATCAAACAGTATCCTGTGAGAAATGGTATGCATTCCTGGCCGTGACACGAGTCCAGCTACTGTTTAATTCATCCCTGTGCAGGAAGCAGATTGATGTGGCCATAAAGGTGCTGAAGAGCAACAATGAGAAAACAGTCAAGGATGAAATGATGAAGGAAGCCCAGATCATGCACCAGCTGGACAACCCCTACATTGTCCGCATGATTGGGGTCTGCGAGGCAGAGTCCCTGATGCTCGTGATGGAGATGGCTTCTGGAGGGCCACTCAACAAGTTCTTGGCTTCCAAGAAGTGAGTACTGAATAAAATGTGACTGGTTGACTTTCTGTACTTCTCATCAAAATCTCTGCTGCCAGGGGAGCCTGGCTTTGGAGGTGGAGGGAAGCTGATAACAGCAGAAAGAGATGTCTCTTCATGTGATGTACTAGGGACTGATGGTTCTGGAGCAGAGATGTCCATGTTTATTGTCCCTTGCAGCTAGAAATCTTGGAGGGGACCATGGTGTACAGAGTAATGGCAAGTCCTTTATTACTGTATTGTCCTTTTGTCTTCCCCAGAGACGAGATTACAGGCAGCAATATTGTGGAGCTGATGCACCAAGTATCCATGGGGATGAAGTACTTGGAGGAAAAGAACTTTGTCCACAGGGACCTGGCAGCCAGAAATGTCCTGCTGGTCAACCAGCACTATGCCAAGATCAGTGACTTTGGACTCTCCAAGGCTCTGGGTGCTGATGACAGCTACTACAAGGTAAGTGTGGAAGCAAAACGAAGGATCCAGATAGCCAGCAGGAACCCTCCTATCTGGGGGGGGGCTGAGACCCCCAAAGGTAGGGGGTCTGGACTTTCCCAGGAAACCTGATGCACCACCACGTCACACTCAGGCTGGTCTCACTGCTGTGACATTAAAAGGGGCTTTGCAAAGCTCTCCGTGGCAAGGAGGAAATTCAGATGGATGCAGAGGGGGCTGCAGTGCAGTGGGATGATGGGAGAGAGGAGCCAGGAGAGGAGCCAGAGCAGAGAAGGGGATGAAGAGTGGCCAGGGCTCACCTTCCCAGCAGTGAGCACCAGTGCATGACCACACCGAGCCCCAGGGCTGGGCTGTGGGACAGGGCTGGCACCATGGGACTGTGTCCCACACCCAGGGATGGCTGAGCAGGGACAGTGGTGGGAATGGGCCAGGGTGTGGGACTCAAGGCTTGGGACCTTGAGCTCCTAGCCCAGGGCAAGGGGAGTTTTTCAGCAGCGTGGGATCGCGTATGGCACAAACATCCAGACTCTTTTCAGTAGTTGCCAGTGAGAGGACAAGGGGCAATGGGCACAAGTTGGAACAGAAGAGGTTCCACTCAAATATGAGGAGAAACTTCTTCATGGTGAGGGTGACGGAGCCCTGGAACAGGCTGCCCAGGGAGGGTGTGGAGTCCCCTTTTTGGAGATTTTCAAGACCCGCCTGGATGCTCCTGATTAACATGCTCTGACAAGCTCTGGGTGGTCCTGCTTTGGCAGGGGAGTTGGACTAGATGATCTCTATGGTCCCTTCCAACTCTAAAAATTCAGTGAAATTCAGTGAAATCCCGCAATGCAGAATTCAGCTCAGAGCAGTCTGTGTCTCGGGGTGGAAATATTCCTCTTTGCTTTTCTCCAGGCCAGGACAGCAGGAAAGTGGCCTCTGAAGTGGTATGCCCCCGAGTGCATCCTCTATCACAAATTCTCCAGCAAGAGCGACGTATGGAGCTACGGTGTGACCATGTGGGAGGCCTTCAGCTACGGGCAGAAACCCTACAAGGTGAGGCAGAGCTGGGTCCATCACGGGTGGATGCCACAGTCTAGTCTCCTGCTCTGTAGCAGGCTGACACTGCTGAAACTACAGTCTCCATGTCCTCGAGTGGGTGCTCTTCCCACTGTCGGACAGAGGGGAAAGGAGACAGGCTCACGTCCACTTTACCAAAGGCGCAAATTAGATTGTTTAGATCCTGCAGATTTGTGTTCCTTTAAGGGAGAAGAAAGAGAAAACAAACCAAATGAATCTGGGTTTGAATCAAAGCATTTCTTCTCTTTGATCCTTCCACTCACTTGCAGAGCTGAAAAAGGAGTATCTGAGCCTCTGTTCTGCTCAGGCTTGAGCCAGGGGCTGCAGGATGGGCTGGCCACAACGCGAGACACCGATGCCGGGTGCCTGACACTGCTGACACTGCTCAGGGTGTGCGGGGCATGGATCCAAAGCATGGCCCCAGGCCTAGCTCTAATCTGTCTCTTCTAATCCCCGTTGCCAGCTCCAAAAACATTAAAGCATTTTCTCACTTGATCCTGTCCTAGAAAATGAAAGGCCCAGAGGTCATCAGCTTCATAGAGCAAGGGAAGCGCATGGAGTGCCCCACGGACTGCCCCCCGGAGATGTACGCCCTCATGCAGCAGTGCTGGACCTACAAGTAAGGCTGTGGCTGGTTCAACTCCTTGCTGGGTGGCAGGTCCACCAGAACAGCACGTGCTGTCTGGATGGTGGCAATATTGGCTGGTGCAGAGGAGGGCCACGAAGATGATCAGAGGGCTGGAGCACCTCTCCTATGAAGACAGGCTGAGGGAGCTGGGATTGTTCAGCCTGGAGAAGAGAAGGCTCCGGGGAGACCTTATAGCGGCCTTTCAATACCTGAAGGGTGCCTATAGAAGAGCTGGGGAGGGACTCTTTGCCAGGAGGTGTAATGATAGGACAAGGGGAAACGGTTTTAAATTGGAAGAAAAAAGATTCAGATTAGATCTCAGGAAGAAATTTTTTACTCTGAGGGTGGTGAGACACTGGAACAGGTTGCCCAGGGAAGTTGTGGCTGCCCCATCCCTGGAGGGGTTCAAGGCCAGGCTGGATGTGGCCTTGAGCAACCTGCTCTAGTGGGAGGTGTCCCTGCCCAGGGCAGGGGGGTTGGAACTCGATGATCTTTAAGGTCCCTTCCAACCCAAACCATTCTATGATTCTATGATTCTAATATAAAGCAAATGGTGTCTCCTTGGTCTCATTCCCCAGTCCACAATGCATGATGCACCTGTTTCTTTATTATCATGCCCTTCCATTTGCCTGTACCAGCCCCAGATGTCAGACCCTCAGAGTCCCCCTCCATCCCAGAGAAGTACAGCCCTGATACAAACAGGCTGCTGTTCATCCCCGGGTTCTTCTGTGCCTCGTGTCTTCTCATTCCATCAGCCCACTTTTGTCCTTTCTGTTGACTCTCTTTGTTCCTTTCCGCCCTTGCAGATGGGAAGAACGTCCAGGATTTTCTTCTGTGGAAAACATAATCCGCACCTACTACTACAGCATCGCTACCAAGACAGAGAACGGGCCAGGGACAGCGGACAACCCAAAAGCAATTCTTCCCTGAGTTTCCCTCTCTATTCCTTAACACACACCCTTCTTGCACAGGACCTGGAAAGACTCTGTGAATTTTTGCTTTAACCTCTTAAACACCGGGTTTGTTTCTCAAATAGTTCCAGAACTATTAACCTGGGAAACGATGCTCTCGCAGCAGACAAGGGTGCTCAGCTTTGTCTCCAAACAGCTGGCTGTGATTTCCATCTCCAGCCCGACCCAGCACAGGACAGTACTGTCAGTATCATAGTTCCTTCTCACCCACTTCCAAAACTATCCCAGGACCTCAGAGCTTAACATCTACCAGGCTCACTAAAGATGAACTGTGTTGGCTCCAGCAGACCCTGTTTTTTCCAGATCCCCTAAAAAACAATTCTTTCACAGGAAATCATCAAGTACACATTTCTGGTGAGGTTTGTATGGGGTGTGACACAGGACAGGGAGCCACCAAATCCCCTTCCCCTTGGCTTAGGGCAAGAAGCAGCTGCTGTGCTGCCCGGTCCCAGCAGAGACGGGGAGGAGCAGTGCCACCACTTTGTCCTCCAGGCACCTTGCCTGGGGCAGCACTCGCACCCTGGGCACAGCCACATGCCTGTTCAGCACAAGAGTGTGGGGTACAGCCCCCCACACTGCCACAGCCCTCCAAGCTGGCTCCCCAAACACCCAACCTCCCAGGACTCATTGCTCACCTCCTGGATCCCATCTGGCCCCTCTGTGCTACTGATACGAGCGTTTTGCTTTTCAAGCCTGAAAACTGGTCACCCTGTAAATAAACTATTCTATATTTTTTAACATACTTACGGCTCAAGACTATTGAACTGCCATAAATTATTTGCAACTGCTTCAAGCTGACAGGATAATAATTGTAATTTCCCCCCACTAGGCCAGGGTTTCTTTCCTTGATGGTCTCCATAACCCTGCAGAGTCACCAACCTGGTCACCCTTGGGCTGGCTTCAGTGCAGAGCTGGAGCTTTTTGGCAGCTAGAGGCACATAGAGCTGCTCAGCTGAGCCCACTGGGGAAACCCACCTATTCAGGCTTGTACTGGTCCAGCCCTGCCCCCGGATGCAGTGGATTGCTGGGGGGGCTGTGGTCTGCACTGGTGCAGAGAAGCAGAGTGGCTGTGAAGGCTGGGGAAGTGGGGGGAGCAGAAGATCAGAGCCCTGAGATACAGTGAATAGAAAAGCTTATCTCTCACCATCATCTGGTACCCCGAAAGCACTGAGAGCCACACAGTAACTCACATGAGTACCTTGTCCTGGAGGCAAAATAAACAGCTACAGCCTAGGCCAGGGCACAGCCCTTATCTACAACCTTAATGGGAGTTGGATTTGATCTGCAGATAACAGTTCCTGGGGAGCATTCAGGTATAAGGCCTGAATTACCCTAAATTACCCTTACAGCCTGTTTAAGTACTCACAGAACCTGGGTCTTATGAAAAACAAGTGTTCTCCTCTCCTTGTTTAGACTGCAGACTCTGGAGATACCAATTTTTTATGCGCCAAAGCATTTTCTCTCTCAATCCCATTAGCTTGTCCTGTATGCTTGAGCACTACGGACATATCCCTACCCATAGAGGGGAAAATAGAGGTACTGGAGGAGAAAGTGGCTTGTTCCTTTTTGTTCAGTGAGTTAGTGGCAGAGACAGGGAAAAAAAAATCTCCTGTGTCATGTTTTCCTCCCAGAGAAAGCAGATATTTTTGCTGGAAAAGAGAAGGTTCAATATGCTTTCTGCTTGAAAACCACTGCCAAAACATTTTGTTTAGACTTCTCTTTCAAAACAAATCCATTTTCTGGTTTGAAATGATTTGTCATGTCAAATTTTCATCTAATTGGTTGCTGGGATTTTTTCAAACGAGGAAGGAAAGTACCAGAGAAATCATAACCCCAGAGGAGCTTCTGGTTTAGCTGGAGACAATTTGAAGGGAGCGTGTGTGCACACACCCCAACAGACAGAATGGAAACCCCTTGAGATCATGCCACAAGAGCAGGGGACAGGGGTTTCTCCTCTGGAAAGCTGTCTGGGCTACGGATATTGTTCTGGCTCTTCCAAGAGCATCGCAAAATGCTGGGAGATGCTGGGGGGGGAGGGAGGGAAAGGGAGTGAGACAAGCAGGACCTGAAGTCACAGGACTCTGTGATTCATGCATTTTTGGCATGTGCACAGTCTGACTGTCACCCCCAAGGGGATTTCCTTTGACTTCAGGCACTGCCTCCCTCCTGGGCATCTCCAGGCTGCCACCACAGAGGGGGCTCAGCCCCCTCAGTAAGACACAGCCCCGGGTCCCACAGCGCAATGGCCCTGCAGAACGGGACAGCCCCTCTTCTTCCCCGTCCCCACCATGGATATATTCAGCTCTGTCCTCTCTCCTTGCTCACTGCTGGCAGGTTCCAAATATTGAAACACTTTGCTGAACCTTTCAAACCTTTTGCTGACTGGTCCCAGAGGCACTGGGTGTTCAAGCAGGAGCTGTGTCACTGAGGAGATAAAGGCTCAGAGCCCATTGCCCTATGGCTGCTTCTGCTCTAACATAAAATCCCTCAAATCCTCTCTTTTCTTCCTGACCTCTCCTTCTCTCCACTCAGCCCATTTCCCTCTGTTTTTTACTTGAATCTTTAAAGCTCTTCTGATTATTGCACTCTCCATCTTGCGAGGGAAAAGATGAACTTCATCTTCTAACTAAGCAGCCGCAGAGATAACGTGAGACGTGATAAAGTATCAGTAATTGTGTCTGATCAACACTATGTAACACTCCATCGTATCACCAATGCAGATCTATCTCATTCCAACCTATCTTATCACCAATAAGCCTATCTTATCACCAGTATATGCCTATTTATCAATTGCACTGCGATATCACCAGCACATACTGACCCCTCTATCTCTTGCAGCTATCTAGGCACTTTTATTTTGTTCAGCAGCACGGCAGCTACGTGACTAACACAGCTCTGTGCTCACTGACCTTTGTATCATACCCCAAAGCCATTTACTGAACTAATGCAAAAGTGTATTTTCAAAGCTAGCACGGGATATTTTCCTCTCTCTCCCCCCAAGAAGTGCTGCCTGAGGTTCCTCAGGGCATGGCTCAGCACTGCCCGGGGGGGCTCCTGCTGTGCTGCTGGGTTGTCCTCTCTCCCATGAGCCAGATCAGCAATGAAGCTGCTTGGTTTTGGCTATTTTCTGGGCTTTTGGTATTTCTGTAGAGCAAAGAAGGCAGAACTAGAAGTACTATAGGCAGAGAGAGGGGACCAGCCCAAGGGAAGAGCAGGGGATGCTCCACAGCAGCTATGTCCTTCCCTAGATGGACTCGGATCTGCTCCCTGTCTGGGGAAAGTCATTTTCAAGATCTCTGTCCCACCGGATGGCTCCAGCTTTTGGCAACTCAGAGACACTGCAAGGGCAGGGCATAGACCTACGCACCCTTGTTATAAAATGTCTGTCAGCCGTGAAGTCACACAATACTTTGGTCCTGCCTTGGTAAAAGACACCTCAAAACCACAAATTTCTTCATAAAAGTCAGGTGAATCTACATTGTCCCCTTCTGTCCCTCCCGGGCAGGAAGGAGATCAGCTTGTTTCTAATTACAACAGAGGAAAGTGAGACAAGGGAAGGATATGACTTGTCAGTGGTTGCACAGGGGCCTGGAAGAAAAGCCCCATCCACCTTTGTCTGTTTTCCTACTTTCATCTCCAGATGATGCCTTCTTTGTATATTCAAAGGCCTTCATGGTTCAGAGAAGCTGAACGAGCCAAATGATGCCCCAGCACAACAAGTGCCACTCCATGCATCGATGTGCTCACTCAGCAGTGGTCAGAAATCACCCAAGTCTTATTGTAGAGGATTTTACCATCGACCCATTGCAGATGAAGAAAAAAGAATGTGCAAGGAGCTGGAAGGTACAAAATCAGATGCTCTTCACTGACGAGAGGAGTGGAAGTGATCGGGCTGGTTTAGAATCATAGAATGGTTTGGGTTGGAAGGGACCTTAAAGATCATCTAGTTCCAACCCCCCTGCCCTGGGCAGGGACACCTCCCACCAGACCATGTTGCCCAAAGCCCCATCCAGCCTGGCCTTGGTTTAGGTATTAACAAGTATCCAAGTCCTGAGTAAAAGGAAATCTCTTTTCACAGCAGGAAGGGCAAGGCTCAGCACTGCCCGGGGGGGCTCCTGCTGTACTGCTGGGTTGTCCTCTCTCCCATGAGCCAGGTCAGCAGTGAAGCTGCTCAGTTTTGGCTGTTTTCTGGGCTTTTTGGTATTTCTGTAGAGCAAAGAAGGCAGAACTAGAAGCATTATAGGCAGAGAGAGGGGACCAGCCCAAGGGAAGAGCAGGGGATGCTCCACAGCAGCTATGTCCATGCAGCCCTTCCAGAGATGGACTCAGATCTGCTCCCTGTCTGGGGAAAGTCATTTTCAAGATCTCTGTCCCACCGGATGGCTCCATTCCCTAGATGGACTCGGATCTGCTCCCTGTCTGGGGAAAGTCATTTTCAAGATCTCTGTCCCACCGGATGGCTCCAGCTTTTGGCAACTCAGAGACACTGCAAGGGCAGGGCATAGACCTACGCACCCTTGTTATAAAATGTCTGTCAGCCGTGAAGTCACACAATACTTTGGTCCTGCCTTGGTAAAAGACACCTCAAAACCACAAATTTCTTCATAAAAGTCAGGTGAATCTACATTGTCCCCTTCTGTCCCTCCCGGGCAGGAAGGAGATCAGCTTGTTTCTAATTACAACAGAGGAAAGTGAGACAAGGGAAGGATATGACTTGTCAGTGGTTGCACAGGGGCCTGGAAGAAAAGCCCCATCCACCTTTGTCTGTTTTCCTACTTTCATCTCCAGATGATGCCTTCTTTGTATATTCAAAGGCCTTCATGGTTCAGAGAAGCTGAACGAGCCAAATGATGCCCCAGCACAACAAGTGCCACTCCATGCATCGATGTGCTCACTCAGCAGTGGTCAGAAATCACCCAAGTCTTATTGTAGAGGATTTTACCATCGACCCATTGCAGATGAAGAAAAAAGAATGTGCAAGGAGCTGGAAGGTACAAAATCAGATGCTCTTCACTGACGAGAGGAGTGGAAGTGATCGGGCTGGTTTAGAATCATAGAATGGTTTGGGTTGGAAGGGACCTTAAAGATCATCTAGTTCCAACCCCCCTGCCCTGGGCAGGGACACCTCCCACCAGACCATGTTGCCCAAAGCCCCATCCAGCCTGGCCTTGGTTTAGGTATTAACAAGTATCCAAGTCCTGAGTAAAAGGAAATCTCTTTTCACAGCAGGAAGAAATTACTTATTTTGCTACCAAGAAATCTGGTAGAGCGGCTGAGGCTCTTTTGTCTGTAGTCTTTTTAAAGTTACCTTGGTTTCGCCTGTCAGATAGAAATCTCTGTGCTGTCAGAGGAAACTATAAACACATCTTCACAAGAGGTTATTTTTGATCAGCAACGAAAATCTTGGAAAATAAGAGAGGTGCTTGTAGCAGCTAAGAGGCTTTTGGGGAGCAGCAGGAGTTCAGCATCGCTCATCTCTTCTGACTTCAACTGATCCCATCTGAGGAGAGGACCGTGCTTGTGGTGTGGGGACAGTGACCATGACCCTGCCTGTCCAACCAGCCCGAGCCCCGGCACAGAGTCTGGCCCTGCAGAGAGCAAGGAGGTGCAGGGATTCATCAGGCACCCACCATGTCACGAAGACAGGCTATTTTTG